GGTATAAAGACATTCATGTACTCAAAATAGCAACTGAGCAGGTGTAAGCATGGACTATATGAAATCTAAAAAAAAAAAAAATTCCATTTTCAGTATTTCTATATAGAAACGCGGTGTGCATTCATTGAACCGAAAGTAGAAGAAACATTCAACAAATTTCTAGTGACATATTTTCTGCCCATCAGCTACCAGAGAAATCATCACATCTGCAGTCAGTTCATTGCAATTTCATGGTGAGGTCATTCTGCCAATATCTTCCGCTGTATTTCAAAGCGCAGCATGGAAAGATATCCTTACGCTATATCCTTAGAGTGCTCTCAGAGCAAAAAGTTTTTGAAGTTGTTAAATCTGGTTCAGATTTAGGTTATCTACAGTATATATGATTGAAAACTTAAAAAAAAAAAAGCTTACAACTTTGCTCCACTGTCACAGAAGGTCAAGATGGTTAGTCAGCAAATTCAACTTCTGAGGAAAGTGGATGAGTGATGGTGAGATGTATGGAGACACTCAGACACATGGGCATCTCAAAACTTTTCCCAGCAGCTGTTCTGCGTACTATGTTCCAGTGATACCCATCTCACAGGGTCAGAGGTTACACTAGCTATTCAAGACATGTTGGAGTATCACAGCTGGATATGGATGACTGAAAGTCATAACTGAATGGATTGGGAATGACAGAAATGCTTACATTCAAGCAGTCATAGAGCTGCGAGTAGGATGCAGGGAAGTGCATCAAGGAGACAAATCGTTCCACGCCAAATTTGGAACAAATGGGCCCAACCCAAACCATGAAAAGCAGCTTTGGTTCAAAAGTAAAGCGGCTTCATAAGCACTGATTACAGCTTTTTTCCTTCTCCACCAGTCTGACAGGTGCAGACTCAGCACTTAAAGACAATGCCGTGCCTTCAAAGCCCAAACACAGCGCCAGTGACAATGAGAACAGATAAAACAAATGTCTAAAATGTGAAAAAGGAATGCTCCACTCATAGTACAGGTGATTTATGGCAGTCATAAGGGGTACAGATATAAAGATGAATGACTGCTGACCTCTTTCTTCTTTTCTTTCCCTCAAACTGCAACTAATAAAGCAAGCCAACGTCTTTGAGCAAGAAGCCAGGATTGAAACGGAACACTGGGAATAAGCTGGTTAATGTTTCTTCAAACATTGTAACTATTTTTAAATCAGTGCTTTTGAAAAGTTTAGTTGGTTATTTTACTCAGGTAGGATCCCTGAGTAAAATAAAAAAGCGTCCCTTTTACACAGTTAGTGTCAGTGTCAGACAGAATTTCTTTGGAATAAAATTCATGGCATGTAACCAATTCTTGCATAACAAAGGTTCATAACTAATAAACCAATAAGTGAAGGTGCAGATGGTCAGTTTGGGGTATCATGCATGTCTTTTTGATGTTTTTGCAGAGATCTAATGGCAAATTTAGCAAAGCTGAATAAAACCACTTAATGACACCACTTTGTTTTTGTTAACTGCAAATTGGTTTGGCTCAAAATTTCTGTTCTATTCTTGTGGTACGCCCTGTCTCATTGTCAAGTCTTGAGTCATTGTATCAGCAGAGTTCAGAAATTCCCAAATGATCTCAGTTACATGTGGAGCCTGGCAAGCTTTAAGTAAAGAAACCCAAAAATAACAGAGGAAATACTGTATACTGTATTTCCTTAGTGTGTTTAATGACACCTGCCATGGACAAAGCTTTTACACTACATCTACAGTAATTCTATGAAAATACTCCATGAAAACATTAAACAGTTCTCAGATGTTTCTGTGTGGCTCTAATACAGATGAACGCAATAAAAAAAATTTAATAAAACTCAAATGGGAGAGTAAACACAGTGTGATGGAGAGGTACTCCAGTCATGACATAATCATGTGACTGGAGGAAGTCCAATCTAAGATTCATTTCCACAGCTCTGGGGTGGATTAAAGGGCTCAAAAACTCAATGTAATCCTGCAGCACGTACAACACTGTCACTGCATCAACAAAGAAGCTCCAGACAAGTGAAGGCTCTGATGAGACAACAGGGCTGGCTCTGGAAAGTGATGCTTTGATTAACTAAGACTGTTTGGCACCTTAAACACATTCCATGTAGGGCTGAACGATATATCGCATTTGCGATAATATCGCGACATGATCAAGTGCAATTTTCTAACCGCAAAGGCTGCGATTATACTCTGGACATGTCCAAATTCATGGGCTGCATCCTCCTGAGGCCGCATTTGTAGACCGATTACGTCACAGCGACGTGCCGAAGGCTGTCCAAATTACTACCATATCCCAGAATTCATAGCGCGGCCCAGCCAAACTCCAGTTTCCAGCAATGGCGGCCGCTACTAAGTTTTAAAATTACTCATACTAATCTTTCTGGGTCACAAAATAAACTTTTAACATATTTTCAGGCGAGAAAGTAGTTGTGTAAACATCAAATATCTGCTCGGTTTATCAAGATATCCCATATTTGCAAAAGTGCTTCGACGTTTTCAGAGGCGTCTGCTACCCACCAGCTCGACAGCTAGCCGGGAGCTCGAGGGTTACTGATGCGGCCGAGAACGGCACAACTCCCGGCACATCATTTTCAGATCACCGCGGAGTTTCGCTGCTCGGGTTAAACGTAATATATAAGTCACTTAGACAACCTAAAAATGTTATTGTTGGGCTTTTTTCAGTGTTTTGTTTGTTTGTGAGTAAATCGGTTTGGCTGAGATTAAAGTTATTAGATTAGATAAAATAAAACTTTATTAATCCCCCGGGTGGGTTCCTCCTTGGTTTTCACACAGCTGACTAAACGTCAAACAGAAAACTTATTAAACAGAAGTATGAGACAGTCGAGAATTTACGCCAGTGTCTGGTTATATTTTAGATAGCAAGAAGCAGACGGCCGAGTTTATTAAACTCCACCGAGACAGCGGTGACGCTAATCAGAAGGCTAGACCGTCCAATTTCACGCCTTTAAATTTTAAAGGCGTGTTTGTGCGTGTGTTTATACAATTGCTATTATGTTTGCACTTTATGTGTAATGTTACTGACTGCAGAGATCAGTAAGATGTGTGTATTTTTTATTTATTAGTTTTATTTATTTAATTTTTTTTTTTAATTGAATGACTGTCTAGTAGTTCACAGATGTCGAAAAACTGAGTGTGGTAAAGCCACTGATTTTGTTTATGTATATTTCTGCAATCTGCACATTGGACTGACTTTCATTTTAATGTTTACACCAGGGTTCCTTGTCAGCACTTTATGCTCAGATGTTTGTAAGCTAAAAATAAACTATTGTGTATGTTCAAATATACTGTTGTGATTGAAGAAGTTAAATAAAAATGTCAGTCATCAATTCATGCATCACCTCATGTCATCATAACAGAGGTCTGTCTTCCAGGAAAGAACAGTTTAAAATTAATGTAATATAGTATTGGCCATACTATATGATGTATTGCTTGTCTTTGTTTAATAATACAGAAGACAAAGACCTTAAAAAATAATCGCATATCGCATCGCAATCGCAATATTGGGGCAAAAAAATCGCAATTAGATTATTTTCCATAATCGTTCAGCCCTAATTCCATGGGATTTAATAAACTGTGGTGACTTCTGGTTTCAGTTTCCACATGTATTCATTACAAACTAAAGGCATTTTTTTGTGAATGATGTCTCCGGCAACTCTTCTTTTCATCTATATTATCTAAAAATTTGTGATTCTGCCTTGTCTAATTCAGAGATAAAAGCATTTGTGTCTTAGATTTTGTCTTGTCTTAGATAAATTGATAATAAATCTAATTAAAGATGAGCGCAACAATGGCACTCTGGCAGCAAGAATCTATATTTAAAAGGCCTTTTTTTTGGTGCAACTTTTAAAATTAGGAATACGAGAGACTTTGGTTTAAGGGCTTCCAATTTGCTGATGTGAAATAGTTATCAGCAGGTTTTAATTTGAATAACAAATGTGCTCTAAAAAGCTTTTTAATTAGTATTTTCTTCTTGTGAAGCTGTCAGAATCTTTAAAATACGCCATAAAAATAAGTGGTCTGTGCTCAAAAAATAAATAAAGAAATATAGTCACAGCCTGATTAGTTCATTGTGGTCTGACTATTCACAGCATGCAAAAACAAAATTATTCCCTCAGTCTACAAATGCTTTAAGTTTGCTCTCACGCCAAAAAGCGATTAGAGGAAAAACATCAGAGCTGGAGCGACTGCAGTTGTTGAGTGTCGGAGGAGCTGCTGATGAGAAGTGAAATATTTTTATCTGGATCCAAATTGCTCTGAAAAAAATGATGTCATGCTGTGTAGCTGACTAATAGTTTGTCCTGCTGTTGTCCTGCTGGGTTATAAGCGCCTTTAAGGGGGATGCATCAGCAAATGTGGCATAAAAAAGGAAAATAACACTTTTGCAGTAAAGGGTGAAGAATACAGAAAAAGCACATTTCCTGGATTTCCAAGAAAACTACAATGATTTTATATTTCATGGCACATAGTAGATGACTTTGTTTAATATGGCAGAACTTAGGAGAGAAATGCATTTTATGGGACTTAAAGTGTTGAAAACTGTGCTAATTTCATTTTAAATGTCAGCGATGCCATGTTGCAGGCAGATTGGGACTTTAAAGCAAAGCTGGGTGGAGGGGTGCAAATGTGAAGAATGTGGCTATAAAACTTCTTTAGGTAACCCAATTGGTCTCAGACGTGGAGCGCTGAGCCAGTGCAGGTGTGCTGAGGAAGACGGTGGAAACTATGAAGTGAAGCCAAAGAAAGAGTTTCTGATAGGCTAAATTCAAAGTTTTGCTGTTAATCATCTTTAAAAAAAATGAGGTGTGGGGCATGAACATATTTTGTCTTAATAATTGTGACATGCCAGAAATGACTGAGAACCACAGACTCAACGCATCTCCTTGTAAAAGTTTCCACTGCTGCAAGAGTAACCCTGATCTTATCAGTGAGGTTATATTTATTTCAAAAGCAGAGAGGCTCCACAGGTGTTTGCACCAATCTTACCTGTTTGCAGCATCCCGGAACCGGATTCTCCCCCGAAGTCGACCGATGCGTCGTCAGGTGAGGCGTTGCTCGTCGTGAGGAGCCCGAGAACGCAAACTGTCCATTTTAACAAACAGAGCAACATCTTCCCGGTGTGGCTGCCTTTATGCTTCAGAAATGAAACATATGCAAACTAGAAAAGTACTGAAAGTCTGAACTGATCCAGTTAAAGAGCAGTCAAAGTGGGGAACATTGCTGAATCGCACTTTTTCTATAATTCTGCAGTTTTAATAGGAGCGAAGTGCAGAGTAACTAACTCTTCATCCTCTTCACCTCTCCTCATCCTCCTTCTCAGCCAGCAGCAGCTTCTCTCCTCCTGCAGCTGTATCACATCACTGCAGAGCCAAACGAGCAAAGAGAAGCCCCGCCCCTCTCCTGTTGACCAATTAAATCCCTGCAGGGCCTCCGCCCATTTTTGTTTTCGAGCCTGTCTTCAACTTACTTTTAATTTGTTTGTTTTGAAAAATTGACTCGTTTCCCTCTCTCCACCTCCCAAGAGATGGTTAGAACTTTTGTAATTCCACTCCAAACATACAACATTGTGAGGTGCAAACACAGGCTACAGTACCAAGCTCACAATCCAGGAACCAAAAACAGGAAGCAGTATAGGCAAAGGTAAAAGGGTAAAGGTAGGAAGAACGCCTACTTGGTAAAGTAGGAGACTGGCTGGACATGGGTTAGAGAGATTAAACACTCGTCAAATGTGCAGATTCCAAAGCTACTTGAGACCAATATGGGTTTCTTAAAAACTATGAAATTTTAATAAAATATATCCTCCAGCATGGCAAGTGCACAGTGTAGCAGTGTTTTTTATATCAAGTAATTGAAACGTTTGAATAAGAGGCGGGGATGGAGGAGTCAAAAACACACTTGATTTCTAATAAGTAGACAGGAAGTCAAGTCCTCTGACCTCTGGTCCACTTGTTTTGCTTTAAATTTTGCTTACTGCCTTTTCATCTACTGCTTCCATGTCTCTCACCATCATAACTACTTGTTTTGGTTTAGAACAAGTCTTTCACAACATAACACCTACGTTAATCTTCCAGGTCCTTGTGTTTTTTCTGTACCTCATCAAAGACTCTATATAAAAGAGAGATGTAATGCCTCACACCTGTATCCTTTTTTTATAGCCAGCATGAAGCAACTCATGTGCTTATAAAAAGACTTCTGGTTATATGGAAGACTTTGGGTGAATGGAATTTGGCTTTCTTGCTCGTTACGTTCATGATACTGAATACATGTTTATTTATAAATGATGGTTCCTTGTACAGAAAGACACATATAACATGTTATGCATGTAACAGCTTGTCAATCACCCAATATGCTTGTGATGTCTGGTTCAAACAACGGCTGATTACATCTGTACTCATGTGGTTGGCATCCTAATCTCCAGATATCAGGTAGCACAGCACCAGTTTTAGTGTGTTTAAAACTTGAGAAGCCAGGATTTGTTAAAATTCCTATTTAATTAATGTCTACTGAATGGCTTACCTTCCTTTTCCTTGTAGAAACCACCGAAGGTCTCAAGCTAACAAAAAAATGTTAGCTCTAATAAAATGGTAAATAATACCAAACTCAATCAAGAGACATTTCAAGGAAATCTTCAGACACCGACATTTCATAATCATACCTCTTTATTCAATGACTTATATTCATACAAAATCTATAGGTAGAGTCCAAATGACTGCAGGACAGTCAAGTAACAGATCAGGCAGCGAAGGATCAGCCACTCCAGAACCTCTAATCTGCTTCCACTTTGGTGGTTCTGTGAGAAAATGTTATTCAAGCTTGTTTTCTTTTTTTTTCTTTACCTGAAACCGATACATCGTTTGTTTAGATAATCAGAAAATACAACCAAGGAACGAATTGTACAAATCATGGACATAATGAAGCCAAACAATACTTCTATTATTATTATTATCTTTGTTTCTTTTTTTTCTTAGCACATGCACATTTTCTTTTGAGAACATGCAAAGAGGACATGTCCAGAGGGGGATGGGAGGGGAGCTTTAGAAAACTGGAAGAGGAAAACTTGGCACCCTGGTTACGTAGGGCTCACTGGAGGTTTGAAAATAAGGTCTTTGACATAAACACAAATCTCTGCCCCAATATAGCAACTTGCAATGAGACAACAAGCAATCTATTGTTGCCCTGATGAAGAACAGAGTCACACCTTTATGGTCTAAAATCCCGTGAGATCCATCAAGTACATTGCACAATTAAGAGAAAAAAATTACAACTGTATCTGGATAAAATCAGACCGGGTTAGAATATTTGCAAATAATTTGCATGTTTATAAACTTGCCAGAACAAAATAGGCACAGAGGTTTTGTACTATAATAAAAGCAGGAGGTTTTTCAGATATCAGATAACAAGGACTATAATCATCACCTCCATGGTTGATATAAGAAACAAATTCTTGCCTATTTTCAAAGCTTTACAACCTAATGTATAGCAGTGTACATTTAAGTAGCAGGCTGTCATTAAAGAGAACTCTTTCAGCCATGTACTTTAAAGGATAGGGCTGGCCATGTTCTGCACTATTCCTATTTGGAAGCCAATAAAAGAACTAAACAAAGAGTGGATTTAAGTATTCTCTGTGTATTCAAAACTGCTGCCCAGAAACGATTTAAAATTCATCAGTGAACCACACGCTTGCACTGGGTGACACTTTCCTTCCTTTCCTAAACAACAGTTCAAGTCCCACAAACACTTTCTTACTATCCAATAATTTTAATACTCAAATTTGTGACAAAATAACAGTTTTCAGTGACTTTTCTTAGGATATTTATGAATGTGTAGATTCTGTAGGTAAGGACCAATATTTTTGATACTGTAAGTTAACTGGATTATATAGTATGGTTTAGATATTACATATTGCTTTATTGACCTCTCATGTTTAAACGCGCTTAAGATGCATGTAGCTAAATCAAAATAAAGCACTGGCCCTATATCTTAAGTTAGATTTAAAACTTTGCTAAATGTGACTCAGAATAAAATATAGGATTCATTTAACAAGAACAAAATTTAGGAAAAAGAAAAATAATTAATGTGTTTTTTTGGATCAGTTTATGTGGTTTAGTTGAGGCTCTAATTGAACATAAAAAAACCCTTTTGTTGTTAGCGTCACGAGCAAACTAATACATGTAAGCTAGCCTGTTAGAAATGCTTGTACTGGACTTCACATTGGTTTTCACTGCTGCAATTCATATTGAAATACAAAATACACCAGGCCTTGTGTACAGTTGTAGTACCAGTTTCATTAATCCCACAAAATTTTGGCTGAAATTCAGTTTTCATTTAATTTACACTTCACAATCCTATTGTCAGCTAGCAGATCAAGCTACTCATGAGCATTTTGGCTAACCTTACGATACAGAAAATAACATCTCTGACATCTAGTATTTTTAACACTTTTAAAGGACTGATTGATGAAATTTTAATGCCTTAATTTTAGATAATAAGTGACCATGCTCTAAAAATGAACAGTTAAAAACAGATCGGTGCCCTAATGTAGCAAAAGTGATACTGGAAGATAAATTGACATCTTTAGTCCACAGGGGTAAAAGAATGGCATCAGTTAGAGATGTCTGCAATCATAACCCAGTGTGCTTAAACAATGAAGCAGCATCACATAACCAGAATTACCAGATCGCTGCATTTTATTAGTTAACCCCCCCCCCGATTCTTTTAATATTAATATTCTGCATTTTATATATTCTTTAATATATTCTTACATTATTTATATATGTTTTAATATTAAAAAAAATTATAGTGAAATATAAAAATGAGATGACAGAACAGGAAATGTCAGGCTGGTTATCCTTTTCATCAGAAAGCTCCAAAGTCATTGCAACAGAGATTTTTCAATATTAGTTTTCAAGAAGGTTTTAAGATGACATTTGCACTAATTTTATATGCACTTTTTAACTTTCTAAAGATCAATATAGAGCTGGAAATGTTTGCCAACAAATTACTAGCACCAACCCAAGTAGTTTTTAAGTTGAAAAACATTTCTAAAGTCTACAGTAACTAAGTTTAAAAAAATAATTGAAAAAAATACTCTACAAACACAAAATGTAAGATATGAAATTTATAAAATTATATTTTGTTATCTATTCAGAAAGGTTGCCATTGCTAGTTGTATAAATGGGCTTCAGGCTAATAAAGCACAGAAAGAACTGAGTTTTGGTTTGAAATTTGTTGACTGTAAAGAAAATAGAGTATTGCAAGCCTTATTCTGTGAGGATTTATACCCTGCCCAGTTGGAAGAGGTAAAGATTCAGAGGAGTTGGTACAGGTCTGGTTCAGCTCTCACTTTTGAGTGACATAAAACCACTTCATTAACAATCTGAAGAATCTGGCTCTCCCAGCAAGTTTAAAAACCACTACAATTATTTAAAAATACAACTTGACCCAAGTCTGGAAAGAGAAGAACACAGTTTTATATTTTGGGTGGTTCTATCTGAGTAGGCGTCGTGCAGTCAACTTGCAAACCTCAAAAATGCCCTGTGAATTCACTTATATCCACTTGGATACCATTCGTGCCTTTAGTGTGTGTTGTCAGTTAACTGTACACATATGATACATTTACAATTTACAGCTCTTCACACATGAATGTAAAATTTGGTCACAGTCACACTAAAGCCTGAATCTGGAGTTTCCAGAGGGTAAAGCTACAGGGCGGATGAAGTGTCGTCTTGTTGCATAGCCCTACTTTAAGTCAACAGTCAGCAGCAACAACACAACTCTTTATTGTACCTATAAATACGCACACAGGTACCCTCGCGCAAAACTTTGTCTGAGGAAAGATTAGAAGATAGGAAACCCGTGAAATTTGGGCAAATATGGCCAAGAAGGGATTTGCTTGAGGAGGCAGATTTGTCTGGATGTGAGATTCATGTTCAGAAAATATTAAAAAAAAATGGCACTTTTCCCCTCATTCAGAGAATGTTTTCTACCAAATGTCTGGCAGTATATCTGAAAGAGAAAGGCAAATGCTTACCACACACCCTCAGGCAAAAGTACAGACACTATTTTGACAACCCTGGCATGCACTACACTTTGGATCTCTAATTTTAATCTTCCTACGAAAAGATTCATCACAAAAGAAATGTTTTGTTTTGTTTTTGATTTTTTGCTTTCAACCCAGATTCAAACACAAGTTTTGTTCTGACCATGTTTTTTTTGTTTTTGCTTTTGCGTTTTTTTAGCTACACCCAACCTCCACTGACCCAAAGTCAGGCTCCATTTTAATACATTGTGGTAAAAGAGGCACTTAGTAGTTAGCCACTTAATGTCAAAAACGAGTTGTTCTAGTCCCTATG